AAATGCACATTGACTAGAATTGAAATTGAATCAAAAACCCCTAAGTTAAGAATAGAGGCAGCTACTGCTCAGTGCCAGTGTGGTTATCAGCACTCTTTGTTAAGCCTCATGCAAAAAGTGTGTTTAATAAATTAGCTTTGAATCCTGCCTTCAGCAGCAGCAGCTCAAAACTCTTCCTCTGAGGGAAGTGGTTTTGCTGCTCACTGCAGTGGAGAAACAGCTGCACCTCTGCCAGCTGAACTTTCAGAGATTCATCTACCAAAATAGACAAATGTATTCATGAGAGGGGTTTTGCTGTTACACTGGCTTCCTGTGCTGTCATATATCCTGTGACAGATCATCCATCATGTTTCCTTCAGAAAACAGAACAGGGCACTTCCCTTCTAGGTTTTCAAGGAGGAAACAGAGCACCAAGGAACACAAATAAGCTTTTATTTTCCGTCTGTGACTGAAAAAGATGTTCACATTCCTTAGGAAATATGGTGGGAAACTTAAAAGAATTGAATATTTTATCACAAAATTAGCAGTAAGATATTTACTGAAATGATTAAAATCTCTCCAGTAATATACCAAGATCTGCAAAATGTAATTATATATGCATATAAATATTTGAAATGGCTACTATCATTCATTAATATGACATCTATAATTCTCATGTTATCTTTGTTGATGTTTATACATAACTCAGTGAGAAAGCAAATTTACTAACTGCATGTTTTCTTTTCCCCCAAACACCTTGAAAGTTCTGAAGGTCAGACACATTTACACTAAGTTGCTTGGGGTTTTTTCCTCATGTAGAACAAAGCATGGGACAGGAAAATTCCTTTAAGTGCATTACAGAAGGAGTAGAGGGATTTTCCTTTTTTTCCTAAATTTATGCAGAATCATAGCTCTTTCTGTGAATGCATAAACCCTCTTATTCCTTTTAAAGGAATTAGTCTTAGGTTTTAATTTCATGTCATTAATCTTTTTTCCAGTATTGTTCAAACTAATCTTCCTGAATCATTCACTGTTGCTTCAGTCTTCCAATATGTAAAAACTGCCCTATTGTTGTGAAAAGTGAATTTGATGAAATGCATCAATTTTAGTCTATGATGTTTTATCATGTGTAGATTGAAGGCTTTTTTCCTTCCTAGACAAAGGATATTGGTTTTACTCATCAGTGCAGATACTTCAAAAATCTGTTGCTGTGGAATATGGAACATAAACCTACTGGACTTGGTGTCAGAGGACAGTGCAACCTTAATAACTTCACATTTATTTAGTCACATGTCTGTACTCAAACAGAAACATTCTAAATTCAGACACGTGTCCCCATAACATGTACAGTGATTCAAGTTTCAGGTGAAAGAGCCAAATTTCACATTGAAGCAAACCTTTCATCACTAGGTGTGGTGAGAATTGCTTCCCACAGGCTCAGCTCTTGTTCAGGAACACTGCAAACAACTCACAGCCTGTTCTCCTGCAGCCACCCAGGGCTGTGCAGCACAGGGCCATTGGTAATGCAGAGTTTTTTGACTCTAAAGGCAAACTCCTGTTTTTTCTTTCCAAGGATTAAAAATAGATCTACTATATTCATGAGCAAAAACAATTTCTTTCATTTCTTTGTTCAGTGTTCTTTTTGTATGTACCATTAAATTCTATTAAAAAAAAAAAGACACTAACACTTTCTGAATTAATTGTCTAAGCATGGTGCATTCCACTACTCTGCACTTCCCTCATTTCACCCTTTGCAAATTAGAACCAAGACATTTCTGGTTTAAGTCCTCTGTCAATCTAGAAATATGCATCAGGATGAACATTTGCAGACTGTCATGTAATATAATACTGAACACCAGAGCCACTGAAAATTTCAGATTATTAATACAATAAACCTGAGTATTTTAGCATAATCTTTACATAACTGTTATTTTGATGTGTAAATTACTAAAAGCTGCTTTCATGGAGCTTTTGCAAACAGACTTTCCTAACCAAAGGGCATCATTTCACAATACCTGTGAGATATAAAGTGCTTGCTTTTGTTCTTTGAACTTTATTGATTTGCTGGACAATCCAATAACATATTCAACAAAGGCCTGATAAAAAGGATGGAATACTTGTTAAGAAAATAGTACTTTTAAACATTAGTAGCTTTTTATACTGTTTTTCAAACCTACTGAGAAGCTTGCTTTGTAACAAAGTGATAATTCTTTAAACATTGAGAGGCAATTTCTTTCTTCTAAGCATCTAATATAAACATGCAGTTGTTAATTTTGAAATTACTAACTCAGAAGTACAAAATCTAGTAAAGGTTAGATTCTGTATGTTTACTATCGAACATCACACCCTATTTATGCCAAGATATAATATACAGAATTTATGTCTGATGCACATCTTTGTATTATACATTCCAAAAACTCAAGTTGCTCCTACACAAACACATTTGAAAACTTAATTACAAATATCTGTCACAAACATGAGGGAATATATTTTTTTTAATTCTAGATAATTTGAGAGCACAATGTATGTGAATTGGGTTTGTGTGGCAAAGTTTGGTAGCAGAGGCAGGGGGTGACAGGGGTGAGAAGCTCCTCCAAGCTTCCAAGGGAGCCAACAGCAGCCATCTGTGGGATAACAGGGCTAAGAAGGGGGATAATTGTGCAACAACCTGCAGCTGCAGAGAGAGGGAGAATGTGAGGAACAGCTGTGCAGGCACCAGGTCAGTGGCAAAGGAGGAGGAGGTGCTCCAGAGCAGATTCCCCTGCAGCCTCGTTATTTCTCATTATCCTACTCTAATTTGATTGGTAGTAAAATTAAGCCAATTTCCCAAGTGTGTTTTGCCTAAGACAGTAACTGGTGAGTGATCTCTCCCTGTCCTTACCTTGACCCATGAACCTTCCACTATTTTCTCTCCCCTGTCCAGCTGAGGAATGCTTACATAAATCCTCAGGAATCACAGCAATCAGCAACAAATTAAGAGATCTAGGATAGAGACACAGTAAGATATATTTCAGTTTTCCTTCACCTGACTATTCTAAGGAAATAAATGAGTAAAGGTTATATTTATAATAAACACTCAAACTAGGAAAATAGATGTGCAGTCACTCACACATTTAAAAAAAAAAAAACCAAACCAAATATCACATCTATCTTTTCTGATTTACATGTTCAGGGAAAATCCCACTAGGCAGCTACCCATCCTGTCAAATTCCAGCACTGCTTGAGGGAGGTTTTTACCTCACTGAAAAATATGGCACCTGTTGATTGTGAAAGTAAAAGCAGTAAAATTGTAATGAAAATACATCTGCATCCATTGCTCCATGGAAAAAACCCACCTCAATAAATTATAAGAATAAGAAAAAACTAAATAAATTATAGTTGTTTGAGTATCATGAAATTTACACCAGACTAAGATGTCATGATACACGGAGTGGGGTGTAAGCCTCTGAACACTTACTGAAGATTCCAAGCTCTATCTAAAAGAATAGAGAGTTTAAACAAAGAAATAATCTTCTTGGTTTGAAGAAGTTTTGTTACACGATTTTTGTGTGTTATTCTCTTAGAAATGTAAATTATGTAAACATAAAATGACAGCATAGCAAACCTTCCCAGGAATGACTCATGTGGCTGAAGAATGAAAAGGAATTGTTTAATTGCACTGATTCCCACTGTCAATCCTTTAATGCACACATGTAATACAGTTCCTAATCCGCAGGGATTTGATTTCTTGGCTGTTTGCGGTTTCCACAGTATCATCACTCACCTGTGACTGTGATCCTTTAGCAGGTACAGTTTGCAGCATCCCAGTGTGGGGGAGCTCAGGGTGGGCAGGACACACAGGAAATTACAGCATGTGAAGGAAACTCCTCACACCAGAGGAGTGGGATGAAGAAAGGAGCACAAGGGGTGTTTCTACAGGACACTCCTATGCCCAGATGTGCTGCAGGGCAGCTCTGACCTCTCCTGACAGCAGCCACAGCAGCTGCTGGGGTCAGAACCACCCCCAGACCCTCACCTTCCTCCCAGGGCCTGGGATGGGCACATAAAGATCCCCTTTGTGCAGAGAGCTTCAGGAGCAGAACATCAGAGAACTCCTGTATTCTCTATGTCCAGGGGTAGGTGACCAAGTAGCTACAAAATCACTCTACCACTACCTAAAAGGGGTTGTAGTGAGGTGGGTTTGGTCTCTTCTCCCAACTAATGAGCAACAAGACAAGAGAAAATGGCCTCAACTGGCACCAGGTTTGGCTTAGATACAAGCAAAGATTTGTTCACTGGAAGGGTGGTTGGGCATTGAAACAAGCTGCCCAGTGAAGTGGTACAATTATTATCCAGAAGTATTAAAAAAGCTATGCAGATGTGGCAGCTGGGGACATAGTGCCCTCCAAGTAACTACTGTAATTAATTTTATATTTCAAGACTAATAGAACAACTAAGCTAAGTTTTACATTAGCTTTGCCCTAACTTTAATCCTTTTCACTTGCTAGAAAAGAAAGTTTGGTAACTTCTTACTCAGACATGCTCATTTATATTCATTTTACTTTGAACCATATAAATGCCCCTGTTACTTATCAATGCTTTCCTGGGAAGCTGGCCTCATGTGTTATCTTGAGACTTTGGATTTTTTTTAAAAATTAAGCAGAAGTGATTCAGCTAAACATTACTTTCAAGTATTTTCATGGGATAGCTACTTTAGTAGATATTGAACTATTTGGGACCAAGGCTTCTGCCACATACTTTTTGGAGCTGTACAAAACAAGTTTACTACTCAAGGCATACAACTTTCACTTTTGGGTGACATAAGTAGCCCTGGGCTTCATCTTTAGTGTTGCTGACTTTAAGCAGGACAGAACTTGTTTACAACCTGAGTACAACCTTGAAGATGGTTACAAGGTCCAGTAAGAATTTAATCTTCACAGGTACACGAAGATCACAGGGCTCTAACTCCCTTCCATTGTTAGGCAAGAGCTCATTACCCAAGTCCTCAGCTTTGAAGTTTATTCCTATCACAAACCACACTGAGCTATGAAGCTACACAGCAGTCACAGCTTTGGTATAACTTAAGGCCAGTCATGTGCTCTGAGTTTTACATAATCACTTGAAATACAAAGATTAAAAACAAGGCTGAGCACACCTGAGTACCAGATTTTATAATGTCACCCTTTTGATCCAGATCATATGACTACAATCTAAAGGATAACTGGCATATTGTCACCCCCATGACATGTAGTGGTAAAGACTGTGGATGAATGCTGTATATCCAAGAAGTTTCCTTTCCAGAAAGTCCAGCATTCCACTCCCATAGAGACAGCATTCACACTCAATGTTGGATACCCAGGAATAACATGAACAGTCAGTTTTGGCTAACATAGATGCCAGAATGACTTAAGATGACATGGTGCATGAGGAGATGCCCCACCTTTGTCAGCCACATACTCCAAGCAATACCACAGGGCCCAGAGTTTAAGCCTGATCCTGCATCTAGCAGCCCAGCCATGAAGAGTGTGAGGAATACTTTATTACTTCAACATGCAAACTAAGTTTTTTCCTCTCCACTCTAATGGAGCTGCAGTAAAAGGCCTTTATGACTCAAGATGTCTACAGAAAGCTTTCAGAAGTGCAGCCTGCACTGCTCCCAGGTCTCCTGATGACAACATACAAGAACAGTAGACAGTGTGCTCTTTTCACAAGTTTAATAGAGTTACAAAAGGATAGCACTGCTCTATGTAACACATGGCTAACCACAGACACGGCATTGTCACTAAGGTCAACAGGGCTTGATGTACAGATACTGATCGTTAGGATTTGCTATGAAGGTACTGTCAACAGGACAAACTTTCCTTCAAGTAAAAAAGTTACTGTTATAACTATAACATGATCCCTTGACTCAGATGCAATGACTTAATCAAAGTTCAGTAACTGATACTTGCTCTTTATGTAAGGCATACTAGTTTCCACTCAGGCTCAATGTTTATTTCTGCTTGGCGAAATACTCTTTACTTTTCTGAACATCAGGCTTGATTGTGTCACTCCCAGGCTTCCAGCCAGCTGGGCACACTGAAATGATAAGAATGTTTAAGTCTTACCAGCTGCTCCTGCAGAACATGTTTTACACAACATTAAAGCAAAGTAGCAACTCAGAACATGTACAGATCTTTGCAACATACAGAGACAGTGCATTCAGTGTCACATGGTGCTTTGTTTGGCTTGTTTCTATTTGTTTACTGGGCAGTAACACCCAGTCCAGGTTTCTGCCCAGACACAGTGGGTCCTTTACACAAGCACCTCTCCCAGCCCCACTTAAAAGCTTCTGGGAAGTTTGATAGCAAAGGTAGGACCAACTCCAGCAGCCAGGTCAGAAAGGCTCTAGCACCACACTACACTTATCTCCTTGGATCCAGCCAAGTCTGTATTCCCCTTATCTTTAATCCACCCTGATCCAGCCCTCCATCTGAAAGGGGCAGGGGAAAAAGCGTTCAACTGTCACTGGTTCCCCTTCATGGCTATCAAAAATGCAGAGGCTGCAGGGTCTCAAACTTCCAGCAGCTCCTTGAGCAGCCTTTTTTGAATAGTATTCATTCTTTACTGTCATGGAATGATGGATGCTAGCTCCACTCAGGACTGGCAATTTTAGCCACAGAATGTTCAGCTTCTGAGTGTTGCTACACATCTTAATCTGGTCTGTCCAGATTTAGATGTGACTGCAGTCCTGAAGTTCTAAAGGAAAACCTTCTGCCAGGTTTTGACTACTCAAAGGTACAGCAAACCCCTAAAGGCTTCATTTGCATGACATGTGACCTCTCCATCATCAAATGTTTGATATGTCTCCTCACATAACATATTTATATGCCACAGTCACGAGAGCAGCTCATTTTAATAAAACCTGCCACTGGATTTACCACTTCTGAAGCACAGTGAGTACCAGCAGCAACACATGTCATCAGTTAATGACAACTGAAGACTACTAACACCTGCATAGCAATTTTGAGTTTCTCTAACTTGGTTCTAACTTTTTATCTGCAGTGTCTTTTTTTTCTTTCACACCTGCAGAAAAGCTGGCAGTATCAAACACCTTATTCCTCCTGAACTATGGGAACAGAGACTCTCATCCATTTTAACCTCACTATATATTGACAAAGATCAGTAGACTTTCAGGAATTTAAATAGTTTGTCTAACAGGCTGCATAAAACACTACATTAGTATTGATGGTCTCAACCTACCAAACCTGAGAGCAGAATCTGCATCAAGCTTACTCTTACAGGGTAAGTTACTAAATGTTCTTTATTTCTGTCTCAAGTATGTTCTGTAATTATTAATATTATTAATATTATTAATATTATTAATATTATTAATATTATTAATAACTAATTGAAAGAGGCAACTTCTATGTGCTGGACAGGACATCCATCACCAAATTGATTTAGGTGAAATCTCAGCTTGGAATAGGATAAAGCATTATGGTGTCCTTCAACAAGCAGATTTACAGAACCAGCTGCATTTCAACAGTCACAATTACCTGCAGTGCACAGATTGATACATGTACTTAATACCTTTCAGTGACCCTTGATTTAATCTGCCTAGTTAATACTGCTCTTTAGAGAAAACATGAAATCAAAACACTCTTACCTTCTCCATGTTTATCTGTAAACTGGAAGGCCTGGACAAGTCTGAGAGTTTCATCAACAGAGCGGCCCACAGGAAGATCATTGATTGTAATCTGCCTCAAGATCCCCTTGTCATCAATTATGAACAGACCCCTAAAAGCAAACAAAAACCAGCCCTGAAGTTAAGCATAGCTTTTGAAAGGCTGATTAGACTGACATGAGTTTCAAAACCTCAGGTTCACTATTTGATTATGGCATTATTTGTACCACTTACTGTGACCTCTTCCTAGCAACTAACACCTTGGTGCATGCACAGCAATGGAACAATAGCAGCTGGAAGCCCAACAGGAACTAGGAGGGACAGGAGGCAAGTCAGAGCACTGACACAGGAAGATACTACTCAAGAAAGATACTAGTAGGGGAAAAAAAAAAGGAAGAGAAACACAAGGAAAAAACAAATTCCAGGAGAGACATTCTCACATTAAAAAAAATTCACTATACACTGTTCTCAAAAAGACAACAAGCAACAGCTCATTAGTCCTCCAACATCAGGTTAGGAGTTAGCAGAAGCTCAGCTCCCTTGGCAACTCTTATGAACAGCAGACTAAAGACTTGGGGTTTAATTAATCTGCACTTTGATCACTAGATTAAATACCTGTAATCATGTTCATGACTATGCAGGTCTTGCATTATCACTGCTTGCAGCTCACCTGCATGAGACTCCTGCACTGAGCAGCAGGCAGTCAAAGGGAAGCAGAATTTAACTTAAAAGCACAGGAAGCCTAAGCCCCACAGAGAACCAGGGACCACCTCCCCTTGCAGAAGTGTCTGACAGCCTGCAGGAGCTCACAGCTACAACAGCCAATAGCTTTAGCTGGCTGCAGGTGTTCAAGTGTACACAAGCTCTGTGCTCATCTCTATGCATTGCAACATAACTTATCAGCTCTTCCACCTCTGGCACATTACCTGTATGCAATACCTTCATCCTCCTTCAGCACCCCATAGTCTTTGGCAATGGCACGTTTTGTGTCAGAAACCAGGGGGATTTTCATAGTGCCCAAACCTCCCTGCTTCTTAGGAGTGTTGACCCTAAAAGAAGAAAAGTTTACATGTTAGAAACATAGCAGTTCAGAATGAGGGCTCAAGGTACAAGAGAAGCAGATCCTTTATGCAATATCACACTCAATCTGCCATGCAGCAACAAAAGAGCAGATGCCCAGTATGCTCAGCTCTGTTCAGCAGCACCTGGCACTACCAATACTTACCAATGTTTTGAATACACCCAGGACTCAGTTCCTGCAAGAACTGAGGCCAGGCAGAACAATTTGTTGGGTTAAAAGGCTGATTCTTACCAGGCAAGGTGACAGAAGTGAGAGTCAACAGAAGCTCCAATCACTTCACAGTTGATTTTCTTGAATTCATCAGCTCTGTCACTGTAGGCAATGATTTCAGTTGGACAGACAAAAGTGAAGTCCAGGGGGTAGAAGAAGAACACAACATATTTTCCTAGAAAAGCAGTACAAGTGGTGAATCTGTTAGATTTTTAAGAAAAAATAAACAAACCCCACCAAAATACAGGAAAAAACCTAAACAACCACCTTAAAACCCCACCCAACTGAACTCCCCAAACCCAGACTGTCAAATTTAACAGGGAATGCTTGTCTCTTGGGTCTGCCCCAAGTACAGCTCTGGGTGTGCCACACCAATAGACCCCATGGCTGACCCCTAACAGAGAAATGCCACAGACCTCAAAGGCTACCAGCCAAGGAAACATTTTAATAGGTGAGTACTCTGTACTGACTCATCACCCTCATGTAGCCTGCAGCATCATTAGAAATGTATTTCTAAAGCCATCAACATGAGTACTTGATTACTTCAGGCTTTCCCTTTGTTTTGAGTGAAAGTTTTTTGGCAAAGCAAACATATTGCCAGCACTCTAGAGAAAGGGACTTTGGTGGTTAGATGAAAGAATTTACTTTCCATTGACAAAGGTGAGACGGAAGATGTTGCTGTGCCACAGTCTGGAAATGTAACACCAGTCTCGCTGTGATACAGGGCAATGAGCCTGATGCAAGGTAACAGTTTAGAGGAGTTTTATGCTCACTGGTAACAGTTATCACAGCTGGGACACTCAGTCATGCTGCTGACAGCCTTCCAAGCATACCGCACCAACCCCTGCACAAGTTCTGATCTTCAGTCCACTGCCAAGTGGTCACTATCATTTCAAAGCCAAACCAAGATGCACATTCAGACACCCTCCAGTCCTTCCTATGGCCAGACTATCTGTGTAATTAGAGAAGTACATGAAATTACCTTTGTAGTCAGAGAGTTTGATGTCTTTGAACTGTCCATCTGGCATTACAGCCGTGGCAGTAAAGTCAGGAGCTGGTTTGCCAATGAAAGCCTTTCCTGAAGACATCTTGATTTAACCTAGACAGGAGTTAACACCAATACAGTTTAGATCGTAGTACATTTGCACCTGGAAGTAAGGATTTATTCAAAGCATCTTATCAATCTAGATTAAACAAAGACAGTTTATCAGCACTCAATCTTGCAACAAGGCTTAAGTGTTAAATGAGTGTTGACACCTGGGTAGCTGAGCCACTATAGAGACTGCCAGCACTTCAAAATGTATGGCTCATGGCCTCCTAAAGATGCAGTAATGGTTATCTAACCAGTAACAGCTCAGAGTCTGGGAAACTGCTAGCCTAGAGCTTTACTAGTACTCAGAAAACCATACCATTCCACGTGGTGGAGTAGAAAGTCTGTTTTTTAGACCTTTCAATGAGAAGAACCTTGTTCAAATTTACAAGGGAGTTTAAGACCTCAAACTTGAGCTTCCTGTTCATTCTGAAAGAAAGTAACTTCTGTTAATCCCCAGGGAACATTGCTCTGCATAACTACACTTTACCCTTTTGAACAATTCAACCCTTTTTTATTTGCATCCAGAAAGACTCATGGCACACAAGGAAATCACATTCTATGTTAATTACCATTTCACCAAGACTAAATCAGTACAGCCAGGTTGCTTCCCCCTTAAGTCTATTGAAAAATAATAAAAGGGTACACAAGGACAAGAGAATGCTACTTCTGGCTGTCTGCCCCAAAAGCTTGTCATGTGTAATACATCCTGTGCAATATTCTGTTCAGTCTGGGAGTGCAGTATAACTCCTTAGACTTCCAGAGCATAATCTTTCAAATAGGCAACTCTACAAACCTAATTTCTGCAGATCACAAAATATTCTTAAAGTTTATTTCACTTTGTTCTACAGACTGCAGCACAGGCTTCCTCAGAGATAAAAAAACACCTCAAAGGTTAGCATGAGTCTCATGTTGCTAAGGAAAGCCAAGAGCCAAGGATTGTTCCAAGTTGTGTCTGCAAGGCACCAAGTTCGTTCTAAAAAAGGTTGAGAGCACCTCATTTCATGGCTCCCTCTGCCTTGCCAGCTACTTTTTTCCTAGAGAACTAGCCCACAAGTCAATTACTTAGCTTTGAACCCACACCTAGCCTTTTTAGCAATGGTTTTGCTTTTGGAGGTTTCTCTCACACACCCTGACAGTAACGATCCACCTCTCAGTTTTCATTTTGAGAAGCACCCACACATTCAGCATTTCTAACTGTGCAACAAAGCTCCTTATCCCCACACTCATCCAAGGGTTTTTAGTCTTTAACTGCAGCAGACTGGGAGAGAATGTGGTGGCCAGGACTAGAGATCGTTTGTAGGATGCAGTGAAGCAGCCTGGCAGGAGGACATCAGGAAAGCTGTACCCACCAATGCAGATTCTCAAAGTGCAATTCTGCAAGAGGGACACGGGAACAGCAACAGCACAGTATTTATCTGAGATGCCTCCAACTAGCAAGTTTTATCTTATAAGCAAGAGCTGCTCGGCCTGGAATGCATGACCCCACATTTTTATCACTGAATTACATTATTTTCTGTTATCCAAGTTCAAGGTTATCCTTTTGCTCAGTACTATGCCAGTCCTTCTATATTTGTTCCATCAGCAATCCTCTGGAGTACTTCACTAGGTATTCAAGGTCAGACTGCTCTTTGATACTTCCCCTTTCTAAATTACAAGTTATTGCCCCTTTCTCTGGTAACACTAGAATTTTTTAGTGTTGCAGGAGTCCTTGGTTGCCTCACACTTTCAAGAGAGCCGTGTGCTTTCCTCAGAGCACCCGCTGTGACCCGCCAACCCTTCTGCTACTCCTTGTGGGGTCAGCGCGTGTTCTGCTCGGATTTTTAGCCACAGCATTTCCTAACCCGCAGAGGAGCAGACCACAGAATCATTGTTACTTCCTTTCATTCCGGAGGACAGTACAATGAGCACCTTAAATCAAATACACTCGAATCCGGCCAGAGTATCTTTGTTGTGCATAGCCGCAGACGGCCTCAATTATCTTCAAACTGCAATTATAATGAGCCAGGCCCGCTCTCTTGAATGAGCTATTTCATACCTTTAGGGTGGCTTGAACAAGAGCGAAAGGCCGTTTCAAAACGCACCATCAGCCTTCCACTCCCACCTTCAGACTGTCGCAAAAATGCGGTCAGGCCACCGCAGCCGGGGCGCGGTACCGAACCGCGGGCAT